TCGGACCCCAGCTCGTCCCTCAGTCCGCCTCCTGCGGGCCCCCCTCCGTGAACTCTCCTGGGCGACCGCACGCGTGCCTGGTGGGGGTGGAGGGCCCCAGGGAGAGCACGGGCGGGGTGGGCGGGCGCAGCTGGCCCGGCGCCATGATGTGCCCGAGGGTGATGTGGGCCTGGGCGCCGCCGTCCACCTGCTGCGGGCCTGGCAGGAACTGCCCCCCTGGAGGCGGGGCTGCTCTCGGCACCGGCTCGCCAGCACCTCCTGCGAGGAGCGCAGGGCCTCCAGAGCTTGCTCCTGAGACCCCTTGGGGAGCTCCTTCCCGCTCACCTGAAGCAGCACGGTCCTGCTCCTCTGGTTTCTGGACGACGCCCACGTTATATCCCGCGGGGCCGGGGCGAGGGAAGCAGAGGGCAGGAGCGCCAAGACGCGTCCCCGGGCCCGCGCGGGACAGTCGTTTCGCCGTGAAAGGAGAGTTGGAGCGATAGTGACGTTGCGCATGTTCTTCCTCCTCCAAGTTTCTCCTCTTTGTCTTCTGCGGCTTGCAAAAATGCGGCTCCTTTTGGAGCTTAATTCAAATCTTCCTTGTCAGGATAAGTGGCTCCTCGCCTGCCTTCCTGCAGCGTTTCCTTACGCTTGTCTCTGGAAGGCGTTTCGTTCTACCTGCGGCTTGTATGGCGAGTCCTCCGGCCCCTCATCTGTTTTGACTTCCTCTGACCCCCCTTCCCGTGCTAGTGCGACTCAGGAGGTAAGCATCCCCACTTCCGGTTCCCTGGCAACCGGGGTTTCAGATGTGAGGCGGTTTCCACTAATCAAATGGACTCGCCAAAGATTTGGTTCCAGGGCTGGCTGAGATGGGAAGAGCCGCGCTGCTGTGAGAGGCATCCACTGAGCAGGTGACCCAGCCGCTGTGGGTGAGCAGGTGTGGCATCATTCTGGGGCTGAAAGCTGCGGAGACTTCCTGATCGCCGGAGGCACTTGTGGCCTGAGCACGGAGCTGGCGGTGGGGACTGTGGGGTTTTGACTCCCCGCCTTCCTGATGTTGTCATAGCCGCCATTCCTTGCTGGGCCTGCTCTGTGGTGTCAGTGGGTCTGGACCCATGCTTCCAGCCCTCCGATGCGTCCATCAGCACTCAGTTTATTGTATCCCATTCATTACTGTTAAAAAATAGAGTTATGTCTTTGTGTCCTTGTCCTGCAGTAGCATTCTTTTCGTAAGTGGCTGTGAGCCACAGATCCTCAAGGGTGGGACTCTGAGACTCTCTGACTTACTGAGTTTGAAAACAGTGAAGACTCGTCTCATTATTGTTAGTGGCTGAGTTACTGGCAGTCTCCAGCACCGAGGGACGTGACCTGGAATGGCACATCCACTGAAGGCATGGCTTTGGCAGGCCATGTGGACCTGCCAGCGCCCACAATATTGTGGACTACAAATACAAGAGATCCAGGGACTGTGAGCTGAAATGGGGACCTTGGGAGGACCTGCGTACCTCGGAGCACCCTGAGCCCCAGGTTCCTCTGAATCTCCCCTAGCTTTATGATCGGAAGAGCTGGCCCTACTTGGTGTGCAGCCTCACTTTTGGAGGTCACAGTAGGAGGATGGCAATTCTGCTCCTACCTGTCCTGATGGTAGGCCCCAAGGATAGTCCGAGACCAGCGTGCTGCAGAAACCCACTGCAAAGTCAACCAGGGAAGAAAAGTTCACGCGTCAAAGGCATTGCAGGATCTGATCATTTGTTTGGGCAAAATCGTGGGGAACGTATGTGCAGATAGACTCTGTGTTGCCTGCACAGACAGGGTCCTTGGGAGGGAAGCTGAGTGGGCCGCAGAGCAGTGAGGGGTAGGAGTCTGGCCCTCAGGCCCCAGCAGGGTGCAGAGAGCGGTGGGGAGGCCTGGGCCCCGGTGCCCTTGGTGTCTCCCGGGGGAAGACAGAGCTCGAGGTCATGGCCTGGCTACTGGCCAGAGCTTGTCCCCCAGCTGGTTGTTGCCCCTGTTGGGATGAACCCCATGGGCCCCTGACACCAGGGAGGCTGAGGCTGGGCGCAGCCAGGGTGGCATCTCTCTGGAGCACCCAGGGCCCTGAAGCCAGGGTGCCCGCTGACCCGGGGTTTCTGGGATGATTTCAGGACACGCAGCCCCACTGCCCTCTCGCCGAGGGCCATCTACCATTCGAATGACATTCTGTCTCCTATTATTACCAATAAATTCCAAGGGCTCTCTTCTCTTCTCATAGTTTTTAGGGTTACGTAGACTTCACCTATGCAATTTTTTTATGCTTGAATATATTACAGATTGCCACTTCTATCACAGAAGCTAATTGATAATGTGATTTGTTATGTTGCCCGGACATAATTCAGAAAGTAATTTTAAAGCCTTTGATACATGGAATAGCACTCACTGTTTAATATTTCTCACATGAGTAGACACAGCATCAGGTAAAAAATGGGATGCCGTGAGGATGAAATAATTCCAGAAGCTTTTATTCTTGATGTTTGGGTGGGTGCCAACATCTTTCTAGAAGAAAGCTCGTATTTCCAACGCTACTCTGATTTGAATTTATTTCCTGGTCATTCATTAGCTTTTTTGTTTTTCGTTTTAAACTAGAACAGGTGCATGTATATATTTGATGAAAGAAAAAAAATCATACAAAAAAAGAGGAGAATCACATACAACCTTGCAGTATTACCAAAGATGTGCATCTAAATCTTTGTAGCATGGAATTAATGCCAGATTCACAGGATGTTATAAAAATAGCACACCATATACTCTCCCTTGGCTCCCCAGATGGTGACATCGCCCAGAGCTGCAGGAAACGGCCGAGCCAGGACATGACACTGGTTCAAGACATCGGTGGATGAAGCCACAGCTGTGGTGTTTGCACCACTTTTTGCAGGTTTCCTTCGTGTGTTCCTCAGTCTCGTGTTTGTGTCATGGAGAACAATTTTTATTTTAGTGCCATCTGCCCAGAATTTGAAGGTTTCATCAGGCCCCTTATTGCTCGTGACTGGTCTTTGGCCGAGCTTTGGAAACACACAAGCGTCATCCTCACAAACCTGCTGCAGGTCTCAGGGGGTCTTCTTCGCAACCCAAGCTGCCTCCTCCAGGCCAAAAGCTGGCTTCCTCTGTGTTTCTAAGATAACCTGCTCTTGTCCACTCCTTTCCAATTGACTCAATTTCATAGAGATGCTTTGGAATTAAGCAACCACTCTGAGAAACTCTTTTTTAACTTTTAATTTTTCTGTTTAAAAGATGTGGGGTACAGTTCAGGGTTAGGTATACAAATGTTCATAATGCAGGTGCCCTTGTTGATGACGTGTGCCTCCCTCCACTGGCAGATTCCCATTCCTGCCAATCCCACCCCTTCCCGGCAGTTTCCTGCTACGGCCAATTGTTTTCTTAAGTGTTATGATAATTGTTCAAGATCCGCTTATGAGTGAGAACATGTGATACTCAATTCTTTGTTTCTGTGGTACATCACTTGGTATTATAGACTTTAAGTCCACCCCGGTTGCTGTGAAGTTCATGATTTTGTCCTTCTTTATGGCTGCATAATATTCCATCATGTATATGTACCACATTTTTTTAATCCAGTCTTCTTTTGATGGGCAGCATGGTTGGTTCTATGTTCTAGTTATTGTGAACAATGCTGCAGTAAACATGTATGCAGGTGTCTTTTTCATAGAGTAAGTTGAGCTCCTCCAGGTATATTCTAAGTAGGGGGATTGCGGGGTTGTATGGAAGGTCGAGTTTTAGATCTTTTAGGAGTCGCCACACTGTTTTCCACAGAGGCTGTACTAGTCTACACTCCCACCAACAGTGTAGAAGTGCTCCCTTTTCACCGCATCCTCTCCAGCATCTGTTGTTTTTTGAGTTATTGATGAGGGCCATCCTGACTGGAGTTAGGTGGTATCTCAGTGTGGTTTTGATTTGCATTTCCTTGATGACTAGTGAGGCTGAGCATTTTTTCATGTATCTGTTGGCTGCTCGTATGTTCTCTTTTGAGAAGTGCCTATTGGTATCTTTTGCCCACTTTGTAATGGGACTGTCTGTTTTTTAACTTTCAGCATGTTTGTGTTCCTTGTAGATTATAGATGTTAGGCCTTTGCCAGACATACAGTTGGCAAGTATTTTTTTCCCAGTCTGTGGGCTGTCTCCCTGTCTCCCTCGTTGGTTTCTTTGGCTTTGCAGAAGCTTGTCAGTTTGATGAGGTCCCACTTGTCTATCTTATCTCTTATGGCATGGGCACTTGGGGTTTTGATCAGGGATTGGTTGCCAGTTCCAATTTCCATAAGGGTGTCTCCTGCATTTTCTAAGGGTTCTTATAGTTTGAGGTTTTATGTTTAGGCCTTTGGTCCATTTAGAGTTGGCTTTTGTGTGTGGGGATAACTAGGGTTCTTGTTTCCAGCACCATTTACTGAATAGGTTTGCCCCTGAAATCAAAATGAGGTAAGAAAAAGGAAAAGAATAGACAAAGGAAGGAGGGGGATGAGAGGAAGGTGGGGAGAGAGAGGAAGAAGAGGGAAAACGGACAGGTAGAAAGAGACAGATCCAGAAGAGACTAAAAAAGTAAAAACATGTAGACAATCATACAAGCAGAGACCAACAAAAACGCCCCTATTGATGTACTTTCCCTCAAAAATACCCATTCACAAGCAGGAAGTCTAAAAACAATATAACAGAAACAAAGCAAGTATGAAAACATAATCAAGAACAGAAAGAGAGAAGAGGAAAAGGAGAAAAAAACCCCACAAAACTCAAACAAAAAACAACACAAAAACCAAGTAGAACAAACAAACAAACAAGCAAAAACCAAACCAAAACAAAACTTGCTCTGAGGCAGTTCCTGTCACTTCAACTTCCGTTCAGTTCTGGTCTTCAGCCCTTCCCCTTTGCTCTCAGTGCAGACTGATAGGGTTGCTCTCACGGTGGGTCAGATGCCCCAAGGACTATTGTGGGAGGAGGGTGGATCAGATCTGGACTCACCCAGCTTGCTGACACTTTGGTCAAGTCTCCCACTCAGAGCTGACATGGCTGTGCCTGTTCCAGCATGGGGGAGGGGTGTCTGTCTCTCCGAGTTTGATGAGATAACCTCTCGGTCCCAGGCTGGAGGCTGGGTGGAGTAATTCAAGTCTCTGCCTGGTCCCAGACAGAGAAAATAGCTCAGGCCAGTGTTTCCTCACTGGTGGTGGGGTTCCCCTCCAGCTCCCCCGACTGCTCTTTCCACAGATACGGGGCTCCAGCGCTTTGCTGTCACAGGTGATGGTGTGGGCTGGGCTCCAGCTGAAAAGGATCAGCTGTATTCAGCAGGCTTTTCTGAGGGAAGCCCTGAAAACAGAAGACAATCCTGCACACTGGGGGCTCCAATCCCAGGGTGGTGGGCGTTGCAGCCACCTCCAGAGGAGAGTCCTGGCTGCATAATCCCGAGTCTCCCCTCAGACGGACCTTCACTCCCCCACCGGCACACACCCACTCTCGCGGCAAGTCTTCGTGAACACTTGCTTTTGCGCAGGCTCTCACGGTCCAACCTGTCCCGATGCCATCTTGCTGGAACTCTGAGGAACTTTCAATAGGGGAGGACGGTTCACTGGAGAGGTGACATTGAACAAAAAGGAGACAATGAAAGCTGACCGCTGGTCTGCTTCCTTCAATCTGTATGAGGAGGCTTGAAGGACCGTTTGTGTGGGGCGCTGGGCAGCTTCACCTCACACACAGACTTGTGTCACTACCGACAAGATACACGGTCACTGACCTGTCACTGTGAGGCTGCCTCATGCAGCCCTACCCCTGTCACGGTCCCTGGGCCACACGAATCTGTTTGTGGCTAGTCTTGCCATTCTGAGAATGTTGTGCAGGTGGAATCTTGCAGTCTGCAACCTCTAAAAACAAATTTAGAGTTGTGGGGTACAAGTGAGGATCTGCTACATAAGCAAGTTGCATGCAGGTAAAGTGTGGGCTTCTAGCATGCCCTCTCCCCCTTGAGAGTGGACCAGGTATCCGGTGTGTTGCCATGTGTCCCCCTGATTCCTCCCACCCTGCCTCCCCAACAGTGTCCGGCAACTACCAGCCCCCCGCTTGTGCTGGTGTGACCAGTGTCAGGGCCCGCTCTGAGTGAGACCCTGCAGTATTCCGTGTTGTTTCCTGATAGTTCGCTTCGTTTGATGGTCTCTAGCTGCATCCAAGTTGCTGCAAAGA